CAGCCTTTTTCACCTGAAGCAGAGACAGCGTCTTAATGAATGTCTTGCCGTAAAGCAAGTACTGAATAGGGCCTAGGGAATAACAATTTTGAGCGAAGCGGCCCTTCTGCCTGACCCTGTGGTGCCTCGCTTGCTTTTGCTTTGAGATCCCGTTTGTGCCTGCGGCGTTGCCTTCTTCACCAGTTCAGTAATGAAGTCTTCTGCCCGACATCGTGCCTTGGCCAAACATCTGCCACGTCAGGGCATAAAACTGGTCTTGTCACTATACTGCTGTATACCGTTCGTAAACTCATCATGATGATGCTTTGCTCAGACGCGGACGCTGGCCGTGGCAGCAACACCAAGAACAATAACAGTAAGCCGATGCCGACGCCGTTGCTGCTTACATAATAATACAGCAGCTACGGCCGCGACTACGGCTACGACTACGGCTGCTGCTACTGCTGTTGCTCTTCCTTGTACTTGTATTTGTACTTGTACTTGTACTTGTAGTAGTACTTGTAGTAGTACTTGTAGTGGTAGTAGTAGTAGTAGTAGTAGTCCTCCTCCTCCTCCTCCTCCTCTTGCTGCTGCTGCTGCTGCTGCTGTTGCTCCTGTTGCTGGTGCTGGTGCTGCTGGTGCTGGTGCTGGTGCTGCTGGTGCTGCTACTACACTACTTTTAAAAGAAAAACATAACACGTGTAAATATTGCTACCACAAAGCGTTATTTAGCGACCAGCTACTGGCTGCTACGTGCCGGCTGCTAATTGCCAGCTGCTAAGTGCTGACTGCTAGCTATAGACTGCTAGTACTAACTGGCTCAGTAATTCTGACTGATCTGACTGACTGACTGGCTGACTGACTGACTGAGCGACTGACTGAATAGCCAATTACGTAACCAACTAGCTAAATAACTACTGACGCAGACAGCGAGGAAGACGAGCACGACCTTGGCCAGGACGACGACGATGACTTTGTCGACGACTACTTCCATTTCTACTTCCTTACTTCCTGCCTTCCTTACTGACTTACTTACTCACTTACTTACGTACTTACCACGACCACAGCCGCCGCCACCACCGCTGCTGCCACCACAACGTGTTTGATGGCCGAACGAGATCCCGCTCTTTCCTCGAAAAAAAAAACATGTTTCACGTATCAGATGAGCGGGAATCTATGGGACTTCTTGGAGTGTACATAGAGAATGAAAGGCTGTGCCTAGCTACTGCCGCTAGAAACCCCATGTTTATCTTGAGTAGTCTTCCAGGAGTTGGCAACCATCACACAGTCCGTAAACCCTGTATCAGCTCTAACATTTCTGTAGAGGCCCTGCTCCTGTACACTCCCAACAAATGATCCACAATTTCATGCAGCCCCTCCGCCCTCATGGTGCAGGCCTCTCAAGCTCACAGAGGAAGACAAGGTACAGAAGCCAGCAGCTGGACAGGCAGCACTGTCTCCAGGGTCTCTAACTCCTTCTCTATTCATGGTTTCAGGGCAGAGCCTGAGGTTGGGATTTAGGGTTTCTAGGGCCTCAAATATTCATTGCCACTTGTGCTGGCTAGGAAAGGACCTGTACCTGCTGGTGCTGCATTGCTCCACCGCCACCGCTGCACTTGGATAAGGAAATTGAGGATTGACACACTTCAATAGTCAGTCGTCCTTTACATCGACGTAACATGATAAATGGCAACTTTTGTAAGTTGTTGGCGAAAGGCGCGAAGGCCTAAAACAACAGGTTGGAAACCATGCAGCATCACATGAAGCCCACAAGAGGCCAGAAATACCCAACGGTCTGGCAGAAACTTTATTCAATTTGATTTCATGTCTCCCCACAAAATCCATGGTGAGAATTCTTGTTGGCAGTGCCATCCTCTAAAGAATACCTCAGGTTTACACGCGCTTCTGTCCGAACAAGAACTCGTATGCACAGCAAGGCCCAAATAAAAGCCCCCGCTGATAGAACCCATTACCGTATCAAGCCCTCATATAATCTTTGTATGAGCCACGGCGGAAATTCCAAGGGCCGCATAAGACTCCTATGGCCGCCCTCGAACTTGGTTTGGGAACACTGCACACCCCCCGTCCCCAGTAAGTCAGTAAGTCAACCCAAATCTATTCGGGCTCTGCAGGGGAATTTTCCCTCAATAGTCAGTGTTGAGCTTGGGGAGTCAAAATCAATATGGAAGCCGGAAGGGTGCCGATTCGAGAGAGTAATCCCGTAAGCCCCAAGCCCTAAGCAAGCCCGCCCGCCGTCTTGGCAGTCCTCCTGTAATGGTGGATCAAGCTCCGAAAAATCCAGACCAGTCTGCTGGATGGCTGCATCCACTTTCTCCTGCTCAACACTGCCTACCTTCCCCAAACAAGCATGGAACTCCACTGGCACCCTACACAGGGAACTTTATGGGGTTCTATGTCCTTGCTTCCTTGTACATGGGACTAGTCATGTCGTAACTCAGATCAAAAGTGAGGCCACCTAGCAGCTGTCGATGCATACGTAGGTTACCCCCTTTGTAGCTGCCCCTAAATCGCATGGACTTTGACCTCAACAGTAGGGTACTAGTAGGGTCTTTTGTCTGCGCGCTGAGGCTCTGGCCCTGTTCTCAGTGACTTGAACATTGGAGAGGCACTGCTGGCGGAAGAGCTTGAAATATCTTTCCTGCATGGCTCTTGGAAAAGCATCCTGTAGGGTTGAGTCGAGGGTCTATGCGGCAATTCTTAGAGATGCCAGGTCTGTAGATGTATCAGGGATGACAGGCGTCTGGGTCTCGCCCTTGGGGTACACAAATTGGCCCTGTAGTATTCGTAGCATTGCTGCCGTTCTGCTTTCAATGCTGCCAGTGCTAGGATTATCCGACAGTCATGCCCAACGTGTATACTGGGTTCCCAAAGCACCCCCCCTACACTACCCAGCCTGAATGGAACCGAAAGTTAACAGAAAGCTTCGAAGGGCAATGCTGCCTCGGATGCATCCCTGCGTGCCAGAAGGCGCGCCTCTTCCTGCATCCAGGGCTGCAGACTGCCGTCAAGCATGATAGAAAACTGAAGGGTGGCTATCAAAGTCAAAGTCCATCAAAGTCAACGTGCAACAACAAATAGCCTGAACATGTAGGGTGCAATATTATCTGCGTTAGCCGAATTCTCTCGGCTTTTCAGAGGTGGCCATACCATATTAGATAGGAAAGTCGTCTAAAAGCCACCGCCATGCTTGTACTGTTAGGAAGAGCGGGAACAACGAATGATATTGTGATGGCAGTCTTCCATGAAGACAATGTCGGCTCATCGTGGAAAGCCAATCAAGCTGCGTGGACTAAGATTTGCAAAGCAATCTTGATGCCTGCATCTTAGAGCATCTGGATTCGCAGATATTGCATTAATGCAATTCAAGCCTAGCCAACTAACTCAAGCATGCTTGCACTTTCTTGACTCAACGAGGCCCAGGCAGAGGGGTACTGATAAGACTGTGATCTTTCCAGCCTTAGGGTCGACGAGAAGTTTGCGCAGCTCCTCCCACTTCTTGTTCAAGGCCGTCTTCAGGGCCAAGACGCCTACCAGTGCATCTCTTCTTGTGATGCAGAAAAGGTCCAATGTATGAATGCTGCATTTTGGGGCTGAGATGGTGCGTGGGAATGCCATAAGCCACAAGCACCAGTAACTCCTGCCTATGAGCTGCGAGCGCAGGGTATGGATCTCGGTGGGCTTGTCTGTGCCAAGGTCCACTTCCAAGCGCAGCAGGCCGTCGTCCGGGACGTGGCCCAACTGCACACCACGAGACAAGGCAGACAGGTAGATAAGTTGGCGCAATGTTACTGGGCCTGTGCATCTACACGAAACTACACAGTGAGAAGCAGCATGCAGATTTGTCCTTGTGACGCTGAAAGGCTTGAACTCTCACAGATGCATACCACCGCACTCGGCCTTCAACTCTGCACGAACTGGGCTCACGAGGTTGGCAAGGGCCTCTTCCACAGTGCGCAATGGCAAGATTGACTGCGGTCATTATGAATAAGTGTAATGCTTCAAGATATTGGATGATGTGCGTGATTGCGCCCTCACACAGACAGCTGGTAGTGAAGTGGGAAGCGTTGTAGACGTCAGTGGATGTCTTGCGTCCACTTCAGCCAGTACGTCGAAGATTCAACCTAAACGCCAGCTCTGGCGGCGAAGGGCTGGCGTCGAAGCGCTGGCGTGCTCCAGCAACTGCTTTTTCTAGAAGCTTGGGAGTCAACGGAAATAGCTTGTAATAGCTTTCCTAAAGCTCATAATCAAAGGTTGTGCAGTGAGCGTGCTGCCTGAACAGCGCCACCAGCCAAACTGTACAACCGTCTGGCCAACGACTTCTTCTCTGGACCGGCTTTGGGGTGGTTACTTTGGAGGGCTCGTATAGCACTTGTGGCCTTGCCCACGGGTCACTACAAATCACGTTCCTCCAAATGACAGAACTGGGAAGCTTAACGCACTGTCTCGGGTCTTGATGAAGAATTGGGCTATGGATAAGGTCGGCTGAAGCGTTTAGATGTTGACGTGTGCAGGGTTAGAGGATGCACATACGATGCCCCAAGCGAAACGCTACCTGCTTCAGCGAAAAAGTGGAAATATCGCAACGTTGAACATCTAATACTTTATGTTGTTGACCAAAGCCTTTTTTGCTTCCATTGTGCACCACTAGTACCACTAGCGCCCGGAACATCGAATCGAGTCAACTTGAACAGACGTGATACGACACGGTTTTCCTGCTACTGAATGCATGTTCTCAGAGCAAATCTGTACATCTGTGCGCGGCATTGCATGAGAAAGCTGTGCATACATAGGCATGGATAAGCTGCTGAAGGGCTTCAGCCAAACAACTTGAGCATGCCAATCAAAATCAGAGTCGGGCCGCCAGAAGATTTCCCTCTGGGACGGATTTATCCATGACACCTGCGCATTGACACGGGCACACATGGAAGCCCGGCAATAGAAAACATACAGAACTTTTTAAACACGGCTGAATTACGATCATGTTGAGGTCTTCGCAAGCGTTAGTAGTCGTCGTCGTACGAATCATCTTCTTCGTCGTCTTCTTGTTCTAGAGAGTAGTCTTCAAAGTCCTCAGGCAGGTCGTCAAAATCCTGTTCAAAGAAGTCAAAGCTCGATGGTTCGTAAGCTCGCTTTCTGCCCCTGTGCCCGCCAAGCTCAAGAGTCTGCATAACACTTCGAGGCACAAAGAGCGTGCCGGTTGAGACCCGAGAACACGCTACGTAGAAGATGTTACATTCCTCCATGCTAAATTCATCGAGAAAATCCTCCAGCAGCACCACATTTCGAAAACCGAGGCCCTTAGCTTGATGGACCGTGGAAAAGACCACATCTGCCAGCTGAGAGGAGAGATCCGTCTTGTCCTCAAGGCCCTTAATCAGGTCTTGCAGCTTCTCCAGGCCCTTTCTCTCGGTCGAAAACTTGTCGTAGATGTTGAACTTGGTGAGCCACTCCACATCGTCGTCCCGCTCGCATTTGCTCCTGAAGCTGCCCAAAGAGTCGAACTTGTTCACATAATTGGATTTCACCTCATCCTTCTGTCCCCGTTGGAGATGGAAGAGGTCCATGACAGGATCAAGCTGAGCGGTCCTGAAAACATCAAAGCCTCCGATGAAGGAAATAGACTTGCCGTCCTCCAAGCTGGCAATCACATCCACTGCCTGGAAGAAGAGAGTGCTATTCTTCCTCGCTAGCACCGTCACCTTTTGCTTCTCGGCTACAAGTCGAAGAATGGACTCACTGGGACTCACCGTGACCTCAACGGATGTCTGAAGTTCTGGCATGCCTTGAACCTCAAGAACCGAGTTGGCTGGCATGGGACTGGCCCGAGCAATGCGGGTCAGGAGCTGCGCGACTTGCGGTCCAAACCTGAAACTCTGCGGCAAGCTCATCCGGTACTCCACTTGCATGTCCGCCAGGTAACGACCGTCCACATGGTTGAACTGGTAGATGTTTTGGTAGGGGTCGCATGCAAAGACTCGCGCAAATTTGTTGCCATTCAGGAGGTCCAGCATGCAGGCTGTGCAATCCTGCGAAGGCACACATTGGCATACTAATTGCGATCTCATTGCATGGGCATAATCACATGGATGGAGAACGGGCTCTAGGAAGTGAACATACCCCGCCGTATTTGGCAGAACTTTAGAAAGCCTAGCTTCTGCAACCATGTTACACCAGCCATAGAGTCCTGCGCCTCATCCAATACAACAATATCAAAGTCTTCAAAGGTCTGGTCTCGGAGCTCTGGGTTCAGCTGCAACAGCTTCAAGTAGACGTTATGTGGGACCCTGAAGCTGCAGTTCCCAGAAGCGAAGTGTCTCCATAATGAGTTGTGCAGTTGCAGCTCGCGCCCGTGGTGGCCAATCAACTGGGAACTAGCAGAGGCGCAAAACAACCGAAGCAGTTCTTGCTGCCTCTCGACTTCGGGCCAGCTACACTCCAGAAAATTCTTGATGTCCGTTTTTGTTGGTTCACCGACGTATCCATGATGCAAATGCCTGGTCGCATCAAAGGCAAGTGAGTGGACCGTCCGGACTTCCACATTTGGCAGCTCGCTCTTGAAGTTGACCTCCAATTGATCCTTCACCACTCTGTTGAAGGCCAGCAGCAAGATTTCGTTGTTCGGCCTTACTCGGCACCACTCGCGGAGCAGGATGCTCTTGCCGCTTCCTGGAGCTGCGGTAATCAGCAATGTCTGTCCTGAGTCCACTGGTTGGCTGACCACTGCTTGCCACTGCTTGGACTCCCTCATCCGTTGTGCTTGGCCCTTGAAGCCATCCGATCGCTCCACCACCAAGGCCTCAGCATCCTCAGCCGCAGGTTGGAGCTTCCACCGAAGCGAGGTGCCCGCGACTGCAGTGACAGATGCTTCCCAAGTCTCTTCTGGGTCTTCTGTCTTTTTCAAGATCCCGGAAGAGGCTTCGGCATTCACAACTTGGGAGAGCAGAACTTGGGACTGGGATTCCTGCCTGACAAGCTCAAATGAGAGCTGGGCATTGCCATCCCAATACAAGTAGCGACCGAATTTCAGCATATCGAAAGGCTCAAATCCTTGAGAGCGCTGCATTCGGACCAGCCAAGTATGAGTATCCATCAGTTTTACGATGACTGAGAATAGGTTCCGAGACGGTGTTCTTTCGGCACAAACCCTACCAATTGTCAGCTCCACTCATAAGCAGGGGAGAACATCAGCAGTGCAAAAGTGTGACTGCGTCACTAGATTGGGTAGGACGCATGCGGAGGCAAACATTCAGCTTGTTGTGTGCTACGAAGCCTTAGTATGCTTTATCCATAAGATCAGATGGAACCGTGTACCACAGACAAGGAGGCCGAGTCCCGCAGACTGCAGCTTAGCAGGTGATGAAGTCAAGGAGTTTCAGCAGTAGTAGCTATCGCGACGATACCAACAAGCACTGTACCCCAATCCCTTGAGAACATTCTGATACTAATCAAGAGCCGACACCAAAGCCTAAAACTGCAACCCGGGTGTGCGGACTCGGTCCATTCCACTGCCTCCATCGACTGCCCGTAAGCCAAACTGAGGCCGTCAAAGCTAAGGATCTTGTACCTAAGATTGGCAGGCAACAAGGAGGTTTTACGTCTCCTCAACACCGCGGACTTCTTTCCGATGTCTTGAGCATGCGGCGAGCATTTGCTCAGGGCCGTAAGGAAGCTGCAATTGTGCTAGACTGGCACATGGAGATGCAATAGACCTTTGAATGCATGTGGCAGATTTATGGGGTGTTTGAGGCGTCCTTAGAAGGGTGGTCAATATCCTAGTAAGTACTTGCCCAGACTCACAAGCAAAAAGCCCTCAAGCTCCATGCACCATGTTCGCTATCAACATCATGCCAGGAACTCTCGACAACGTGGCAGTAGGCCTGTAAGCTGTAGTCTTTACTCAGGTCGGGAGGGACCAAGAGCTAATAGCCGCTGAGCCGAGCCCTTGCACCCGATTTTTACTGGGAGCTTCACTCTGCGGGTTTCTCAAAACTATTGTAACTGCTGCTCCCTTCATTTGGATTCTTCTCGCACTCATCAAACACGATGGGGGCTTGTACAGGGTGCCGACATACATCGCCAACGAATAACCCCAAACAGTCCTTTCCGCAATGCAGACGAGGCGCAGGGATGATCCTTTCGTCTCCAGAACCTCATCTTGCCGGAATCTCCTGCGGCTTGCTTGCATGACATACAACGGGCCCGCACCTTCTGCCTCAACCTCAAGTCCTGAAGGAGCTGTCTGTAGAAAGCACTTGCAGCGACATCATCTTCACAGCGCCGGCTGCAGCTGGGTTCCTCGGTTACTGCACATTTAACTCAAAGGGATACCCATCAACAGCATCAGACCAGCTATGGAACTACAACTACACTATCAGGAATCCCCAAACCCTTAAAACCTTCAACCCGAACCCCCCAGCCCCTAATCCACGGTAACCCAAATTGAGCCCTTGACAGCCACCCAGGTTCTGACTGGAAAAGGAAACGTCCACCTTGGAAAGCTCCAGACCTGGGCAAAGTCTTCCCAACGCGGGATCTGCAATGGGGACCCTTATGGACCCTAGCGAGCTATAAAGTACTATAGTCTAAACTCCAGGGGTTACTAAGGGGGAAACTAGAAGTTTAGACTAAAGCTCATATGCGGCAACGGGAATCTTAGCGTCGTGCTTGAGTACACTTCCAACTTGAGTCAACCATGCTGGGCACCAGATACTCATCTCCGGCATCGAACTTTCCTACAAGAGTCGCAAAAACTCTAACCCCCCTGCTAACAAAGGAAGGTAATGCCGCATTCAGTGAATGGGTTCTCATTGGAGTTCTAAAGTGCAAGCCCTGACCCTGCTTGCCAATGTAAATGCCTCAGTCAAAATACTGCTGTCTGTGACCCAAGGAGATGGGAGCAACCTTTTGCTCGCCAAGTTTCGACGACGTATATCTCGGTACTTATACATATATACATCTATATGTACATATGTATATATGTATGCACCTCTTCGTACTTAGTATTTCGACATGGGGCCTGGCCCAAAACCACTGAAAAGATCGTTCGTCATATGGTCCGAGGAACTGAGATTGTTAACCAGCCGTCGAGCGAACCTTGCAGAAGGCGGAGCGTACATTTCACACCCTGGAAAGCATCCCGATATGAGAGGAGAGAGAGAGAGAGAGAGAGAGCCAGTAAGAACGAATTGAACTGACAAATATCTTCAAAACCACTAAGGTTTAAGATAGGCATGGCCGCTTATACTTCTCCACCCGAAACTCCTCAGGTACTCCGTTCGGGAAAACATTGTATCAAGCCGTTTTTTGGAATACTTCCTGGGCTGGCCAGGCCATAAAGAAGTTTTAAATATACTCCACGTATTCGGTTATGTAGATGTAGATTCGAACAATGCCAATGCGCCAGTGGTTGTCGAGTTTGTAAAATTTGCGATACCTGTGGTTTGGAGGATAAACAGGTGGCAACATCTTCCTGCAGATGCACGACCAGCATTTGCGGCATGTGCCTATTGCGAGCATCAGCTACAGCAGGTAGCTTCTAGAGATAGGGGGACCCCAGTCAGTATAGACCCCAACACATTGACATTATGACTATAACCCTTAGTATGGGGACCCCAAAAAGAACCTCCAAATTTTTGGAAACCCCCAGATGGGATGCCCAGAATTATTCTTCAGGACGCTGGTCTTTCAATCGAAAGGCTCCCCTAACCTGCTAGAATCCTCGTTGCGTGGATGCGCCAAAGGACCCATGAATTCATGAGTTTTGCTTTGTGCTGGTTTAGCATGATGCATACATACATTGATACTCATTCATGCATCACCAGCAAACTCTTGACCACCACCGCTCACTGCTGGACGTTGGAGGGTTGGTCGACTTTTGGCTTTCATTTTCAGATTTTGTGGCCAGGGGCACATGAATGCGTAGACTGTTGTTTTTTGGTTTGTAATGTGAATAGGTCCGATTGGAAAAAGATTACACTAGGTGCTTTGAAGATCTTTTCGTTTACGGCTGTGCAACGAAACTTCCTCCTGCGGCAGGAGGCACCCAAATTCTGATCCTCAAGAGAGATCATCATCTTTAAGCTCATACCGAATGCTGACTCCCAATTTCAGCTTACGCTGAACAGTTTGAGTACCGCGAGACCATTCCCATCAGCCTTCAAGCCCAAAAACCTCCTCTCCCCAAAGCCATGTCAAACCCGGCGCACAGCTTGCGAGGTGCTTGCCCGGCCTGATCCCAAAGCCTGGCTCTGCTTGATCGTAAGCTTCCTGTCATGAATTCAACGTTCACAGGAGTAACGTGGCCACCTCGACCGTGGTACCTCCTAAAAAAGGACTCGCCCCGCAGGGAACCCTTCTAAAGATACTCCTCATACAATGACAAACTCTGCACATCATAGACCACGCCATGCAAGTCTGCTGCATGCTCATTACATAGCGCTTCATCTTTCAAGGGTTTGGCATGTCAGGTATGTGACCCGTCCTGTGCTTGCTGCTTCCGTCTCCACACGTCCTGTCGCACCATCGGCCATGTAAGCATAGTCTGATGGGCTACCAACTACAGGCTTTAACCAGGGCCCGTAGCAGCTGTGGTCTAATCTTGTATGCATTGGGGGTTTACTTTGAAGGTTTCATGCAACCTTTCCACTCTCTTGCTTCCTGCTGTAGGCGGCTGCTGTCCAAGGCGCACGAAGCTGGGTCATGCGCAGCTCTATCGCTCGCAGCTTGGTGTCCCGCATATTTTTCCTGCAGGGTCAGGCAGTAGATGGCAGTAGCCAATGCCCTCCGATGGTCTGCAGTGCAGCAGGTGACTGAGACTCTGCAGATTTTGTAATATCTGTCCTGAGGACGGACTCCGCGAGGCTCTCGGTCAAATGTTCAGCTTGAAGCTGCACGCCTTCAACCTCAACGCTGATCTTGCCTCACCCAGCAAAGTTACATCCATGCTCATGGCGTAAGAAACTCATCTCCAAATGTCAGTGATGGCCCAAGGGTGCATCCCTGCACGCATGCATACTACTTTCACAGTGAAATTCTCTGCCCAGCCTGAAAGAAGCTTGGTCTTGCTTGGCAACGTGATCTTGATTCTGTGAACTCGTCCATTTCGAACCCGAACACCTCATGAGACTTTTCCGTGATGTTTACTAGCAGTCGCTACCGCAGCCGCTACCGCAGTCGCTTCGGTAACCACCAGACGCAGCAAGGGGCTTTGGTCATGAGGGCTGGTACCACATCTGACCAAATCTCACAATACCCAAGCCATAGATGAAGTCATAGTATAGCAACTAACGGAACAAGGACAATGTGAGGCCATCATCACCCTGGCCTTCCACGCCCAGGAGTCCGAGGACATCCTCCTTCACCTGCACAAGGAGTTCTCAGAGATTGCAAGGACCCAATCATTAGGCACGCGGGTTTCTGGCAAACCCTTGCAGTACAGGTCGTGGGGAGATGTACTGTGATTGGTTGTAACTAGCCCTATTTCGGGCTCTAAGCACTATGGTTTTATAGCTGCCCTTGAACCTGGCTTTACCTAAATGGCCACACGTGAGTAACCGTAACTTAGTAGTATGATACTACTTTTGCCATCTCCTTGTAGCAGCGCATCCAGAGCCCTGGCTACATTGACCCTGCAGCTCCCAATCAGGTGCCTTTAGGTCTTTCAGCTCCAGGTTCCCACTCCACAACGACAGGCGCAAGTCATTGCTATCGATTCCGTCCACCTGAGCTTCACAGAACTTCATGAGGCTAAGACTTAGGGATTTAGAGTTTGCAGGTTGGCTTCTGTATGCTTCAGCTTGAATGTCATAGACAGCTCATAAACGCGGAACAGACACATAGCTGTAGGCTGGTATAGAACTGATCTGATTAGAAAGCACGCAAGCTCTGACAGAGGCACGCGCAAAACGCCCTCAGTGTGCCAAGGGGCTGCTTGACACCAACAAAGACTCGAGGCGTGCAATCTTGAGTGCTGAGCGCACGACGTAGGGCTGAAGGAACTTGACCAGCACGTGCTCTATGGCTGCAGTGACCATTGCGACGCAGGCCGCGCGGCAAACACGAACAACTATGCATACAAGGGTTCGGTCCTGGGAATGTGAGCACCTACCAAATTTCAAGGCAAGTGCCTGATACCAAGCCAAAGCAATGTGTGTAAAATCTAGTGAGGCGGCTGGCTACTTCGCATGCCCTACAACACTTTTTCAATAGTCCTTGCATCTGAGTGTAAGGAACCGGGGCTACACATGCACTGTGTTTGATGGTTTTATGGCGCATGAAGCACCAGCAGCTGAAGGGTAGTATGTCCTGGTGGCTTGATCCAGGAAAGCAGAATGCTACTGATGACAGACCTGAAACAGATTCCGTCTACCTTAGCTAGGAGGATGAATAGGACCTGAACTGAACAGCAGCTGAACAGGGAGCAGAGACCCCTAGTCACTAATGGTCTCTAATTGCCCCCTCATGACTAGCTTGAATGCCCTCTTTGTTGCCTAGACCTTACAAGGACCCCCACCCTGTAATAGAGGGTATAAAAAGAACATAAGAGGATCCTAGCATAATCCTTACTATCCCTTATAGCCACCATTAGTGGGTCGGGGGTCCACGGAGCCTAGATCTTGGTTTGCCTTTCTTTTGGCGGCCTGGCAGTCGCTATATGCAGCCACAGAGTTGCTGAACCTGTGAGCCCTTGCCAACAGGCTTGGTTTCCACAGAGTCCTCAATGATGCTGCGGACAACGGCGAAGTCATCCGTTCCCCTGACAGGTAGGAGAGATGTAGAAGTGTATGGAAGCGCCTGCAACAGCTCAATATAGCTCAACAGTGTAGGTGTCTGAATTCTGCTACAACATCGAGCTGACTGTTATGGGGGCGATGACGGGCCCATGCTTGGCGCCTGCCCACACACAGTCACCATGCAAGTGGAATGAGCATGCATAAGTGACAAAGCCGCCGTCAGGTTGATCCCAACAAACTAGCCGTTTCCGTTGTCATTTCCATTCTTGTGGAGAAACATAACATGGAAACAAATACAGAAAATCCGAGTATATAAGGTAGCCCTGCATAGTCTGCTAGCTATACAATGGATCCAGCTCTCACTGGGGCAGGCACGCCATCTCTCTGGAAGCCCAGGCCTTAGGACATCCAACAGCAAGCACGCGCACCATGCGAGTTGCTAGACATTAGTCTCCTGTCACTAAGCAGAAGTGGCCGCTGCTTCAGGCGTGATGCCACTCGGCAGCTGGACTTCGACCATTGCTATTACTCTTATAATTCTTATTACTATTGCTGCTGCTGCTGCTTCTACTTCTACTTCTACTTCTACTTCTACGACGACGACTACTACTACTAGTACTGGTACGATTATGTAAGTACTGTGACTATTATTATGGTTAAGATTTTGATATCAGGGCTCCTGAATGGTATGGCCAGCCTGCAGCATCCAGATCAGTGGCCATTGCAAAGAAGCCTGATACCAAAGACCTTAACCATAGTAATAATAACAATACGTAATAACAGCTATTAGAATAGTAGTAGTAATGATCGTAGTAAGTTTTCCTGGTAGCCTCAGCCTGTGCAATGTAAATGTAGACAGCAGGTTTCGCCTAGAATTTCCGAACATCGGTTGCTCCAAAAGGCACCCCCCTACCACGGCCATGCCTCGCAGAAGACCCACCAATATTCAGAAACTCGCTGACTGTAGCTCGGGTCCAGACCAACGTGCAGCCGGCTCAACAAGAACTTCAGATCTTGAGCCCAACAATTTCGGCCGCTCCCTGCTTACAAGGTCTCGAGTACTCAGGAATACTCACAGCATAGCCACGGAAATTTCAGTAGTGCCTTCGACGCCAAAAGCAAAGAGCGCGCAAGTCTCACTGCATACGCCATCGGAGTTTGTTCGACTTGGTCAAGCGATGCGTTTAGGTCGAAAGCTGTCTACATATGAGAGCTTCTCAAAAATCAAAGGGCCCCTTGTACTCCCAAGAGTTTCCCTCGTCTGAGCCCCAAAAAAGGCCCTTCATTTTCGAGAAATCCCCATCCGGTGCCAAACCCAGGCTTGCGAGGTTTGGGAATCATGGTCAGGGTCTAGCTATCTAAGATAAGGGCCAGGGCTGTTGCGCAGAATGCCAGCCATAAACTGTGAGAAAGAGTAGCAACTCTGAATGCAGACCTTAAGGAAGCCTTAGGAGTCCGGGTGGGACAGTTTGGAGACTGCAGCGTGCCCTGTAGATCCACTGCTACGACAAGTCTTGACTTTGGCTCCTGTTGTCAATGAGATCTACGCCACCCCAGCTTCAGCGGTAAACGGCTTCTCATTCTGTGGAAATGATGCCCTGCAGGCGCATTGCAATCCCCCGATCCTGTGTCATTTGCTGCCTTAAACCAAGCCGCAGAATCCTTTTTGTATTACTATGTGTCTTCTCTGTATCCCTACTGGGGCGGCTGCTCGAAACCCCAAATCCCAAACACTCACCCCTGGGCTGGCACCGTGCCGGATCAGAGCTTCATCGTCCTGGCTGCTTTGGCCTGACAGCAGCATGGTGCCAACATTGATTGCTTCCCAATATCTTGAGGATTACAGGGACTTCGTGAGTCCTGAGAAGTATACTTAGAACTCTATGAGCTATAAAGTGAGCCCAGTCATCCTAATGATTTATTGCATCACTAAGTCCGGGTGAGCCTCTAGTTATGGGGTTCGCGAAAATTACGGACCCATTTGGAGGTCCCTGTAACGAAGACTGTAATCGCTGGATTGACTTGGGGTGTACGTAGGGGCCCTCCTAGTTCTGAGAAATTGTCAGAAGGCTCTCCTGGTGAGGTGTATATGGGCTTCCCAACCTTTGAGCTGATGATGGATCAAACATGATTCAACCTTTTCAAACAAGCTCCGAAATTTGCGCTATGGGCTTCTTTCTGGAACGCTATATCTTGGGGGGCAGAATGTTTTCAATTTGTCAAGCAGGGCACGATGGCCGTCCTTGCTACAACAGTTGCAGAGGGGCTGGACATTGAAGCCTTATTTGGGGCACCGTCAAGCAGAAGGCCTGGCACTCGCGAATTTGCATTGAGTGTCTGCTAGAGTCTGGTAAAGAAACTCCACCCCTATGATGCTGTTGGAGTGTGGAAGCCAGAAAGGCTCCAACACTGATAGGGTTAATGGTGTAGGTTGACCATTGACAGAACTCGGCAGTTGTTGAGCGTGCCTAGGCCAGCTACAGTCAACAGTTCAACCAACTGGTGGGGCTGAGCTACATCACTATAAGGAAATCCAATCTACAACCTGGATGTACTTTTAGCAACCCCAGATTGAAGAAGAGCAAAGCCATTGCCCAGCTAGTATGCTGGGGAACTTGGATTTCTCCGGGTGATCTGCTTACTTACTAGTGCCTAAGGGGGCGTTGGGGGGGAGTACAGAAACTTTTTTTCATGGCTTACATACCGATCTTTATAGGCATCCACTCCCCCACTTCCGCTGAGGCGCCAGAAAGTTAACCTGTCGCCAGATATCTTGCATTCTGTGTGTTCCTGACCACTGCCTCTGACGAACTCTGCTCGACGATTTCCGTTGCTGTCAGGTAACTAGCGGGTTTCCAATGATGAAATGAAACGAGACTATATTCCATTTCAAACATACGATGAGCAAAAGAGAACAATGTGCCACTGCATCTCGAGGACTACAGTATCCCGATTTGAACTGCCAATCAGTTTCTGCCGAGGCACCGGTGGACCTTTGAAAGCTGCAATCGCTGCATGATGCGGGTGCGAGGCCCCAATGTCGGCGAAGAGGCCTGGATACTCGATGGCATGGTGCGAGCAGTATGGGCCCGCTTTTGCTGAGGGTTGAAAGAATATCCTACTACTTTTGGGAAGGGAATGGAAGGGACTCCTACTTGTACGACCCCGCCCCCCAAACAATTAGCGTGCACCTTGTATATTCGCAACCCCTAGACAATGTGATGGGGATTGTCGCTTTTTGAGACCTGTCTGCTGCCTGAGGGCTGAGAGATCGGGTTTAGAAGACTTGGTAGTTCTGCTTTCTGAACCTGAGAAGGGACAATGGTAGTAGCGGTGGAAAGCCAGGACAACGTAGTCTGTAAGCACCAGGAAAGTTGACATGAAAGAACGTACCAACAACACGAGGTACCCCTATCAAAGACAGTGTGACAGATTTCAAGTGAGCTTTGTCATATTGATATTCTGCGTTTTTCGCGGCCGCAACACTCGCAGCTGTAATGCTCCAACAGCTACCGCCTAGCAAACATCTGCGAGAAAGCTCCTGCAACCCTGCAAAGCCAAATGTCTGCTGGCTTGTATTCAATGATGAGAATTCATGTTGAAATGATCAATCAGTTCTTGCGGATTCTTAGCCATTGCTTTGTAGGGCAACTGCCCGATTAAGATCTTTAGATGTCTTCCGTCTGTCCTTTGCTTCCAAATGTCTGCGGGTCTATCGGGGTCTATCGTTTGGCTTTAGGGTAAGCAGACGCGCTTGATCTTCGCATATTCCACAGTGAAAGCAGGGCCCTTCCTGCTCCGTTTGAGAACATGAACTCTACGTGCGAGAGATGTGTTTCACTACAAGCCCCCGTCCGGTCTGCAGATATTCTATTCGTCTCAACTTATTCTGCAGTATGTCAGTTCAATATGCAAAGCAGTGGCCTGGCGTCTTCCAGAAGGTGGCATCGCCTGAAGCTTTCCGCCTGGCCTCCAGACCCAACTCCTGCTATAGTATATTCTAGTGTACTATAGTATAATATAGTAGAGTATAATAGACAGAAGTATAATCATTATACTATAATGCTGCTTGCTTGCTCCGGGTGACGATTTTGGGTTTGGCTGTTTCCCCCACACCCCCCACCCACACCTGCTTCTGCACAGCGTGGCTCTGCTCGCCTCAGGGACTCAGCACTTCTACGTGAATCAAAGACACACAAGAGCACATCTGTAGGACAACCTTGCACGATGTACGCCCACGAGCAGCCGAGGGACGCTTGTGCAGAGCAAGTGTGGGTTGAATGGCAGTGGCCAGCCTCAACTTCAGCAATAGCGAACATTCCTAGCTGTGACTGTCGGAAACAGCATGGTGACAGCGTCAGCAGCAGCCAGGGCGCAACTTCGATGACACCCTTAAAGACTTATCCAAGGAGCGCCGGCCACGCTTTCGCCCCAGGAACCTTCAGAGGAAAACTCAAGGATAAGTCTATGCAAAGTACTGGATCCAACCGCTGTCTCTACTTTCGGGGGCCTGGATGTCTTGAAGCAGCTCTTTCAGCGCCTGCCACTGCCTGGGCACTGCTCTAGCCCCAGTGGCAACCATAATGAATATGACATTTCTGCTCTGCACTGGGACTGCTTGAAGATTGTGGCTCCAGAATTGCCCTTGGGTCTCCAGGAGGGGAGTGTTCCTTCTTGCGTACGAGTAGGTTGGTTCTCGCTGGGTCATGGTAAGCAGGTGAGGCTGGAGGTAACGGGGGGCTTCTCGGGCGTGCTGCCAGATATCCGCCTGCGCGTCAGCCCTTTTTTTGTTTAGTGCGCAGCGTTTCGGCTCAGATGCGGTGTTGCCCCTGCACGCATCAGTGAGAGGTCCTCCAAAGACTCCAGATCTGAGCTGGCTGCTTGCTGGAGTCCGACTGCGAGAAAGTCAACTGCCCCATCTGTGCGCGGAGAAGATTTGCCTACAGCTGCTGTGGGGTTGATGAATACGTGGGCCCCAGCGTGACCCCGCAGTGTTTCGGGGTTACAAGGGCCGTTATTCAGGTATGGGAGTTCAGTGGGCCTCACTTGGATTGAAGAACGTTGAGAGGCCAATCGAGGCGCTTTCCCAAAATGGCATCTGGCACGCAGAGAGTGACGATGTTACCTCGAGGAACTGGAGAGTTGTAATCTAGCTTTCAGCCTGACAGAAGCTCAACAGCTTGCAGTGTTCCATGGACGTGCTTGTAGAGCACGCTCTCATGCAGAGCTCAAAAAGACAAGACGTTTGGAAACCAGCGTTAACAGTGATGCGCGATGCTGCCTCAGCCGCCCAAATAGCTCGTTGCAAGCATTCGCCTGGCCAGCTCACAAGAGGAGGCATGCCAACACAAAGTCCAAGGGAAAACGCCTGCCAACTTGCTCTGACACAATCCTAGCAGCAGTCCTTCAATTGCGCAGGATTAATGTCCCGACACAAGCCACGGAGTACTCGAATTAGACAGACTTATGAGGTGTCATCATCTAACAGGAATCTACCAAAACAATATCTGGGCACGATGTTCTCAACAGCTGTAGATTCCTTGGCTGTGCTTACAAAGCTCCCACTTCTCCGTGGCCTGCACCATCTGACAGCTCGCCAGCCAGGACCAAAGATAAAGCGTTCAGTGTGTGGCCAGCTTCCCCGCCTTGCACTAGCAACTTCATCCAATTGATCTGTACAACCGAATATGCTCACAAATTCAAACTGTTGTAGTGGAAATCATCGAGATACTGATGCAAAAACGATGATGTAATATCTGCAGACTCTTTGAACAATCTTTTCACAGCATTTTGCACCTGGCCCTCTCCACTGTTTGAGGATTGGGCACTGGCAAGCTGCCACGCATGATTCGCGGCGGACTGCACGACTCCATTTGAAGCCCATGGTGGAGCCATCTGGGCACGCCTTGCAACGCATCGATGTATCAGTGACATGCTTCACCACCTCCTCATGTCTCCACTGGCAAAGCAAGTGTTGCCACCATGTCGTCGGAAACCAATTGTTAATCATGCTGTGCAGAACCACCGTCTGCAAATAGGGTAGCACAGTGTTCACACAGGATCGGCTGAAAGTCAAGTCGTGAGCAAGATTTGCAAACATGCGAGAATGTTGTCATCACCCTATTCTCACATACAAGTGTGATGTCAACCTTGTGCAACCGCCCCCAAGGCAAAGGAACATCCGGATCTTGAAGGAGCCCCTATGACTCTAGCCGGCACAAAAAGCAGCAATCCTCTTCCTTGGGAAAGCTCAAAGCGCATGCAAACACTGGCATTTCTCACAAGTAAGATCCCCCTGATAGTCGCCTAGACTCCAAACGAGTAGAGTGCCATGACCTCCAAGCTTGAACCACTCTAAAGTCCTAAACCCCACAAAGGTGTAGTAAAACCCGTACCCAAACTTAACATAAGCTACTATCATGAGGAAACCCTGTGATTTGGTAGATACGCATATTATGGTGCAGTAACTACCCTAAACTCTAGACCAAGGAAGCCGTAGTGGCACCTGGAGGTAACTCGGTGCTGAACCCAGCACTCCCCACGCCTGATGGGCATGCCATGCCATTAAAGTGGGTTGCTATTAGGGTTTAGGGGCTACCATTTTGAGGGTGTATATACAGTAAATATTGAAACCTCCCCCAAGAAAGCTGACTTTCCTTCTTCTATGCGCTATACGCACTCCAAGGAATGCGTTGGGGCTTGACTCTCCCTCTCCGTGTATACAACACTAGTTTGTCATTTCCAAGATTCTACGTAGCAAGCAACAGTTGACAGTCGAGACTCGGTAGTGCCGGGGAAGCCAGCTTTAAGCGATGGGTGGACAATTGTGCGGTGTGCGTCGCGTGTTTCTGGCAGCCATTAACCGTTAGATTGTCAAGATGTATGCCCAGAAAGACTGCTTGGTACTGAGCTATTGTTTCGTCCGTTTGAATCTCTCCTTCCTCAAACGAGTCCACAATGCTGAACCACAAATCCAGTATACCTTGTTGGGCGTGCCAAGCAAGGGACAGGCCTCCCTAGTGACAGTTGCGGGTTTCGGGCTTCAGGCTTTAGGTCTACCTCTTTCCCTAAGAGCTCTGCTTGTTATAGCAAGACCCACACCATATCATCCACTTGCGAGACCAGTTCTCGGAATGCCCCAAGCCGAAGCCCAAAAGCCTGAACTTCTGGCCTGGGCAAAGGCCACCCGCAGAGGACTTGGGCTCATATTGCTTCGAACCGCCTCCAGAAAGTCGTCCCAACGCTGTAGCGCCTGCAACAGCCATCAAAGCAGGGCGCTTGTTCGGTGGTAAGCAGAGGCAACATGGGAATCTGCAAGGCAGAGGTCCGGAATGCAGTACCATCCCTTCAAAACTTGCCAGTGCATTTGCTAAACAGAAGCCTGAGCCAACGCCTCAAAAGTCCGATACCAGTTCAGCGCAAGAGCTTCGGCAAAAAAACACGCACTTGATTCAGGCCTGGCCACGTGCACTCAGGCCCATCATGACACGGATGACAGCAACAGCCAGGCGATGTCCTTCCGACGGAAGAGCCTCAGTCTACCAAAGACTACAGGGCACTTTTCATCTCCAGCGCTCCGGCTGCATCCGAGCTACGGCCTCGAGCTGCAGGCGCTTCTGCAAGGCGCTTGGAACATCGGCTCGGGCATTCTTCGGCACATCTCGGAGCATCTCAACCGACGCGATGCTCTGTGGATCCTCGCCAAGCCGCCAAGCTCAAGACACCACGTATGCTTCTGCCATGTTTGTGACATGGCGATTTCTCAATTTTCAGTGACATCCTCAGGATCACAGATTATGATACCATTTGGGACTATACCTGGGGAGCGCCGCAATTAGCAAAACTTCCCGCAGTGACAACCTCCCCAGCAAGCATCAGGGTGCACAACTCATCACATTACTCCGGGAGCCCTAAGCTCATGCGTGACGCTACCACACCCCGATACTACCTCCCAAGGTTCCCCTTTAAGCCTTAGCCACGCTTGTTTGGCTGTGATCAAGGCTAATTAGGTAGAACCTTGCAGGGGAAAATCGGTAAAGTGGGGGTTGGTTAGCTTGCTGGTTGTTAGTAGGGAATAAGGGCATGTAATCCCTATATAACATATTCCCTACCAATCGCCAGCAAGTTAGGGGGTTCCCTAGACTAATCCCACAGGACTCCCACGGGCGAGCTCCTCGCGAGCCGACTCATAGGACAACTCCACGGGAAGGCAGTGACGCCACCTGGGCATCACTGACAAAGGAGGGTCCCTGTTTAGGGTTTAGGCCGGATCTACCCCAGCAAACATGGGGATCTCTGCTGGTATCTCCAAATTCTACCTGCCCACCCCAACAAATGCAGAGACTTCTGGCGAGACCTTAGCCCAGAAACCTTAAGCCATAGTCCCTGAGCCACAAATTCTTGAAGAGTCATGCGACTAGTTTCCTGCCAATAAAACTTGGAGATGGATGATTCTGCCTACGGTATGCCCGCTCAGAGATCCGGACGCAATGTGCAAGCTAGTTTTCCATGCCTCCTGCAGCCTGCAGAAGAAAAAGAAGATTGCAATACTGAAGCTCAAGCCCAGACCTGCCAGGGGACCATACTAACAGCGGCTGAGGTGCAGCTCGAGAGTGCGGAAAGCGCGGCCATTCAAACACCTGGCACGCTTTTTGGAACGGCTTAAACAGGGCCCTGGAAGGATTTTAGACTGCATGGACTTTTCCATGACGACATCAGCCAATTTCTGAGATGCATTGCGCAGACTTCGCTACGAAGGTCCCAGGGTCCCTAAGGCAGGGGAGTGCGAAGGGCAGCTTGCGCCTCGCCACTTGCATTCGAGCACGGGCCATGCCTGAAGCGACGGACTCTTCGGCGCTGGTGCTGAATGGGAGTGGCGGAGCAGATCTTCAGAGTGATGCGCACGGAAGAGCTCAAACCAGCTTGGCCTGTATCAGGCTGCCATTTGTCTTTGCTGCTCAAGAACTCGTGGAGTGGCCTGCAAGCGCCCAGAAACTTAGCGTTGACATCCACTTCTGAAGGGAGGACGCAAGAACTGCAACAACAAACCCATCTGACACAGTTGAGCAGCTGCCAGTGGCAACCCTAAACCCCTAAACCATCCTAAACCCCATACATTATAGTAAATATGTTACAATATATTATAGTATGTTATAGTATGTTATAACAAACCTTCAAGCAAAAGTGCCTGAAAAGTGAGCTGCGAAGGGCACTCCCCTTTTGCAACTTCAGTGCCCATCGGCACAGTGTCAGGGCACACTCCACACCTGAGTAATGGAAAATCAAATGGAAAAGACAATGGAGAATGAAATGGAAACAGTGATTCTATAGAGGATTATAGGCATTAGGGATAATGTGGGTAGTGTCTTTTTTGGGTGGTTAAACCCAGTAAGAAAATGGAAGCTACTATATTATAGGCTATATTGGGGTTATATAAGTTTTTTTTGGTGGTTAAGGCCAGTAAGATTATGTGCCTTATATACGATACTATACCCCGAAAGGAGGATATAATCTTACTCTATATCGGGTACCATAGTATCCCCAAATGAAATACTACTCACGTAGGCTGCTGGGACTCTCTGCCTACAATGGAAAGTGCAATCTTATCATGGGTTTAGGACTTATATAGGGTCAGAGGAACTCAGGAACTAGGCTATTAAAGGGGCATGACTGGGAAATCTCTTAGGGATTCTGAGCTATATTCCTTCAAAACATTAGGTCTTCCTGACCCGGCAAGGAGGCAGCGAAATCGATGGCTGGCTCGTGGGCAGGACCATGTCCTACAGGCCTTGATTTTGTTATAAGTGTGGGCCCCAAGCTTGCTGGTCAAAAGACGTGGAGCATTTACTGGTTTGGGGGCTCGCCTGAATGAAGCAGTTGACACACTTTGACAGTGGGGAAGAGGAGGAAACATGTGCGCAGGTTGTGAAGGCGTTGAGGGTTGAACAACCAAGGTGGCAGACTGCCCGAGCGAACTGGTCAATTGTTTGGCACAACCTGGTGTGCAAGTTACCCTCCGAAACTATGATCACTTGGAGTCCGAAGGACCACTGCCTGTTCTGAAAATGCCCATGTTTGCTGAGGACAGCGCAGGTGAGCTCATGCCAGCCCTCATCTTTCAAGGGGATCGTGAGGGCCTCCAGATGGCAGCACTAAGCAGTGTCCCTGCAGCTTCAATAGCGAATCCAAATCAGCTGCTCTACAGAGGAGTGCCCGCAGCACATCTATACATATGCCTCAATAACTCAAGACTCTCCCTGTGAGTTGCTGCTGTAGAAGTAGTAGTGAACCCTGCATATAACCCCTTACAAAACCATTATAACCCTGTATAACCCCAATATAACCCGCCTGCATAACCCCTGAGCCTCACCCAGGCGAGACTTGAAATCGCCTGTATAACCCCTGAGTCGCAATGCGGCCTGCAAGAGACTTGACATTGCAGCGCCAGTTGGGAGCTGTCCCTCTTCCAGCATGTCTCCAATGGCCTGGCCAAATCGAGTACTAATCATGTGGGGACTGACTCCTAGGCCGCACTTACAATACAGTAGAAGATATCGCAACTTTTGCTAACAAGCATCGGGCCCTTTTAAGAAGAGGCAACGAAGCCCGAGTTCGCGTGAAAGCGTGAAAACCTTCTGTTTCATAGGCTACGGGTGGTATGGATGCAGCAGGGTTGAGGCAGGGGGGTCAGCTGACGAAACTCAGTCCATGGCCATTTCCAAAACTCAGGGCCTTGTCATCGTCCAGAACTGGCTTACTGTACGGGTCGCTGTCCGGTGGATGGAGGAAATCTTGCACCACTTCTCATACTCAATCTGAGGTACTTCATTCCTTGGTTATAGATGGCCATGAGGTTTTTAGGGCGGTGTAACCTTCCTCCATCCACATTGGGCCTTCAAGTTACCCCCTGCGGCCAGCACAAGCCACATGAACCACAGGAATATATCGAGAGTATACAGGGATTGCATGTGGCTTTGGTTGCTGCGCCTTCGCTGCATCTGCCTCTGCAGCAGGTGCAGCTGAGCTTCGCAGCATGCCTGCATTGCTCATCCAGAAGTTGGGCAGTTTCCCGAGAATGTGCTGGTTCCTGTAGCGATAGCTTCAACGATGTCTCTCTCTGAGATGATGGAGGCAAGGCCCCAAGCGGGTTCGGCAATCCAGCCTAGCCAGAAGTCCAGAGGCTGCGCGACCTGCCGAAATTATTCACGTCAAGAGATCACGCAGGCTTGAGAGTCTTAGAGAAGAAGGCGGTAAGAGAAGTCTTTTGGACCAGGGCGTAGATGGCCCAAGTTTGCGTGCAAAACCCGCACCTCGAGCCGGACAAGGGGCCACTGCATAAGCTTGGGCCCCAGGATCAGGAAGGCCAGGCCAGAAGGCAGATCTGCTTCCTTCACGTCCATGTACGTTGAGCGTACTAGCGTAGACCAGTAAGCAGCGTACAAGCGCATTCTGAGCAGCAATTGCCATATCATAGTTATAGCTATAAATGCCATAGCTGGATCAAAGCAGGCTGGTCCTGCCGCCCCTTGACAGGTCGATCAACGCCGGGCGGCAGCAGAGATGTGGCGCGGACTGTCCAGTATCAATGCTTTGCGGGATTTGTTGCAGTCTGAATTTCTTCATTGATGTAGAACACACTGGAACCCATATGCAGCATCACAGTCTCCATTCTGGTTTCCAGCGGCGTCAGCAATTCAACGCGATGACATAGTAAGATAGCCGGACAATCCCACAGTATTAGGTCTCTTGAAAGGAATGTTGGACATTGGAGGATTGGGGTTGTATGTTTGATATTTGAGGGAAGGGATAACTCAGCAAAATGGACGTGATGGTTGCTAGGCCTTCCTCTGCACCAGTAAGTTCGATCTCCATCCTTCCAGGAGTGTCGGAGCCCGTCTTGTGGATGTCCACAACCAAGGTGCCAGTCCAGTACTTGAATGACACCTGAAGAAAGCTTCTGCTGCATTCCAAGATCTAGCCGTCGCACCGCACAGGCTTAAGAAAGCACCTCAGCTTATTGCTTATGATTAGGAGCGGAAGATGCTCTTAGTTCGACTTTCTGACTGGCCTTCTTGGCTTCCTGGTTGCTGACGCCCACCTGGCAGGGACCCGCGGAATCCAAAAAACAATTCGAATTTCGATGGCAACCAGTGGTGCAAAACAGAGACACGTAGACTTCTTGCAGAACATCTTCTGGTGCACACAGTCTAGATCAAGATCGATGTGGGCTAAAAGCAGGGGTAACTGTGCTTGGCGTTGATAGTGAAAGAATCTAAAAACGTGCCTCAGAAGTCGCGGAAGCAGCGTGACCCTCATAGCCAAAGCCAACTCCCGTCTTCGAGATGCTTTTTGTGACTTGACCTTTTCAAGAAGGGATCAGCATGCAACGGAAACTGTCTTGGCGACATCTTCATCCCCGCAACATCTTCCCAAAGCATTCATGCATGCTGTCGATCCTTGTTCACACATGGACTATGAATTCTTTGCTAAGTTTGCTAGCATGAAATGCTAACTACTCATGCTGCTGGTGCTGCTGGTGTTGCTGCAGCAGACATTTGCGGTACAAATGCTATATGATGCCATATAGGATGTTGCACTTCTCGTTGCTATTTGCCAAGCGGTCGGCTGACTGGAGGGAGATTCTTCAGCGGCGTAGGCTCCAAAGGCATCTGCGACACCGCAAACTCCAGTCGGTGCAGCGCCTGGCTGAAAAAAAGAGCCAACTGAGTGGTTTCGAATACAGATATGCGGTTCCCGAGTGGGAACAATCGCTTCCACCAACACTTCCGCGACAGCTTCTGTGGAAGCAAGTCTCGCTTCCGCGCGATCTGATTTTCAACCCCTGACGGATGTTATCAGCTTCCGCCAGCCTTCCGCGGTTTAGCGTTGCAGGAAAGGTTTACCTCCAGAGAAGCATGCCATCGGACAGAACCCGTTCAGAAACCCTTTGGCGAGTGTGCCGTCAAAGGCACGTTTACATGACAGCTTCCGCGGACGGAACTACAGCTTCCACGCCCTTACGCGGAAAGCTGTTCCGCCTAGTACTGCCTCTGGTACCTATGTTTCTTGAAGCTGCTCACCTGGGCATTTCTGAACTCAAACTAGGCTTCCACAAAAGATCCGTACTTTTTTGGAACATCAATTTGTTCATAATGTGGGGTTCGAAGGCGTTCCTTGTTTCCAGTTCCCAGCTGTCACAAAACTGTCGCCCCCTGTGGGCCTGGGCTGAAGAGACAAAGTTATCAAGGCTTCATCCCTCTTTTACAAAGCCTTTGTCGCAGGAGGGCCGCCCCAGGCGTGTGACAAACCAATGTTTTAGGCCCACAGGACTCAAGGTATCTAAGGGTATAACATTCGTATACGATAGTAGACTATAACGAAATATAATACAATACAGTATAATACATACATATAGTCTAATAAAGCAATATATAGTAAAATATCAGTATAGTATATCATAGTATAATACAGTTTAATATATATATATTATAGTATGATAGAATATTAGTATACTATAGTATGCTATAGTATAATATTGTAACTATAGTATATTCTAAGGCCTGGTTGTAGAACCAATTGATGCGGATCACTGGACAGCCAAGACCGTAGATCCACTGCGAGGAGAAGTCCTGCAAGTATCAAAGTTCAACGTACTGGAGGGTCGCGGGGAATGAAGGAGAAGGATATGAGGACCATTTTCGGGGATTTATCAGGGCTACTACAAGGGTCAAAGGCGTATGTTGCAGGAGATTCTGCACCGCTCGGTCTTGATCATCTCGGGGCATTTCTGCCGCTGTCCTGGAGCTGCGACTTCACGGGATCCTCAGGGTCCACGATTAGTTCAAGAAACTGCGTCGTAGTCAGAGATCGAGTGGAGGTGGCGTCCCAAATAGATGCCAGTCTGTCATGGAAATGGCTCCATTCCAGCTTCCTCCACAGGGGCATGCATTCTTCGGCCTTTCTGTTCATGCCAGTGGCCTTGGGTACTGCAAAGTCAACTGACCGCCCTAAGATGCGACACCCAGGCGAACAGAAAATCATCATTTATGACAGCCATGAACACCAAGCTTCGGAAGTGCAGCAAAAGGAGAAGGCTGTTGAACTTGAAGGGAATGTTGTCAACTGAGTACTCTTAGAATGAACGCGCAACATCAAGAGATTCAGGCAAACACCAGGTTTAATGCTTTCTAACTTGCCCATCTCCTGCACAGCTCATGGCAAACCAGGTAGGCTTTGACCTCTCGCACGGGACCCAGCAGCTGCCCCAAGGTACCTGCCAATTTTTTCGAAAATTTGAAGCTTTCGCCTATCTGAAACTTGGGGGGGGGGGGGGGGGGCGCTTTTTACGTTCAGGGCTATGGGCATCTTATGTCATCTTGGCAGCACAGCTGATAAACAAAACATCTGTCCTCCAAATGCTGAGCCCGTTAGCCGCGCAACCACCGCCTTGGAACTTGAACCACTAACTACATGTGCATTTTGGAAAACACATATGGTTCAACCATGCCTGAACCCCAGGTGGGCTTTTGAATGCCCACATAGCCTGGTGTTGCCTGCAGGCAACACGCATTTAACTTCCAAGGCCCCTTCAAAAATCCAAGGGATGCTCGAAAGGAGGACTGTCATTATTTTACGTAGTACGTAGCATCTCCAGCACTACGAACTCCACGACATGATCTTCATCACAACACAACAGGTATGGCTTTCAGAAGTTGGTGTATACAGGACAAACGAGCCCCCACATCATCCTACCCAACAAAGCAAGACCCATCCAAAACTCGGGATTTGGTAGAAAGGCATATGCCCTAGACCATCCATCTGGAGGCCCCGTCCTCAAGCTTCTCTTGAATAATAATACGCGACAATTTTGTACGGATGTAACCTTACCCAGGCCAAACTCTGAGCCCTCCATCCTGAAGCCCTAATTCATGCCTGTAAACCCCCAAAAAACCAAGGCTCCAAACCGTATAGGCCTACACCCCGACCCCACATGAGCTTGATCTAAACTCCTAGTATCCCCCTTAATAACCCTATGGTACTCCCCTATACAAACCCCTGTTAAGGAATGTGGATTATGGCTCACATACTAATAAACCCTGAGCCCGAAGCCCCGAAACCTTCCCTCTAAACTCCTAAACTCTTCAGCCCTGAAGCCCAAAACCCTGAGCCCTAAACCCTAAACCCTGAATATTTACTATTCAGGGTTTAGGGTTTTGGGATAATGGAAAAGAAAATGGAAATTTCTATTCAGAATAGTAGTTCCCATTTTCTTTTCCATTATCCCACTCTATGCCCTATATAACCCCCAATATACTATAGTGTGCTATAACATACTATAATGGTGGTTTCCATTTTCTTTTCCACTATCCCAACATGTTCCCTAGATATCCCCCAATATAGCATTGTATGCTATAACATACTATAATAGTAGCTTCCATTTTCTTTTCCATTATCCCAATATGTTTCCCAGATATCCCTGCCTGGCGAAGGCCGCGGGCCCCCTGCTCCGCCCTGGACTGACAGTGGCTGCTCGTCCCGACCACGTTCTACTTGAGCATGCCAAAGTTGACCTGAGGATTTCTTGAAAATGGAAACTGCTATTATAGCATATTATAGCATACTATAGTATATTGGAGGTTATACAGGGGTTATACTGGGAAAATGGAAAAGAAATGGAAACTACCAAATTTAGGGTTTAGGGTTCCCATTATAGGGGCTCTTTAGCAACTGGAGGATGTTCGGCTTGGACTTCAAGAACATTAGGCCCATGTTTGTTGCTTCATTGAAGTTCAGTTGGACTTGGAGCTCGTAGGATTTCGAGGTTTCTCGAGGTGTGGAGTCCACTTTGGCTTACTGCCAACAGCCTATGGCTCAAGTTGAGAGGTAGAGAGGTAACTGTGACCGTGGGTCATCTATCAAGTATATGGGTGGTTGTCAAAATTATGGTCTCCTTTTGGATCCCTATTTTAATACGGCACCTAACATCCAGGGTACCCAAAAAGGGACCATGGTTTTGACAACCACCCATATAACTCCTTGAAAATCCTTATGCATCAAAACCTGCTCTACCGCAGTAAAACAAAAAATGAGGGAATGACAGTGAAGCGGAGCCAGGGCAAGCGACTCTCCTCCCGCAGCTTGGCGGCAACCTCCTCAGATAGTAGCAGCAGTGCAGCCACTCACTGAAGACTCGCTACTCAAGCAAGCAACCCAGAAAGGTGCATCTTGCTCTTTATCTGAGCGTCAGCTTCAGCTAACGCAGTCGGCCACGTGTTGATCAGGGAGCTGTCTGACAACAGCCGGCATAAGCCATGGAAAAGCCAGGCATGCTCTTCTGAGTCCAGTCGCACGGAGATCCCAAACCTCATGCAAATGATGGAAGCTTACCATAGCTTGCGGGATGCCCTAGCTGGCTGCTCGTGGTCTTGTACAGTAAGCACCGTGCCATGCTGTGGCAAAGGCATATGCTTGGACTGGTCGCTGCACGGCTGTTGCCAATGTTGCGCATGAGCCTGCAAGAAGCTGCATGACAGCTAACATCTCACTGGTAAAGCGAATCTGTTGTTACTGGTAGTCTTTAAGTTCGTGTTTGGAAATGGTGCATGTTCTTATGCTCCCCGACCAGTCCCTGACCAAGAAACCGGCCAATGAGAAAGGACAACTTACTCTGAATATCATTTATGATGTGCAATAGTCACCCAGTTGTTTGGGGTGTGGTTCCCTGTGGGTGGGGGATGCGCGTGGGGCCAGGGGGTAGACATGAGACTTGACTTGACCTGGCAGTTTACAATACTTGCGTACCCCAATTGCGTGGATTCCTGGGAGGGCTTCTGCACCTGGGGTTTATGTTGAAGCACCCTGAATTATGGAAACTATCATGTATGCGGCTCCCCCAACAAGAACTCTGGATTTTGCCCAACACTAAGACCCGTAGAAATATATTAGCAAAGTAAGTATAAAATACTAGCCGCAACTGTGGTACCAATCTCAACCATATTCTTGGCAATGCCAATGAAATGAACAACGTGCTAATTAACCACTTGCAACCAAGGCACTGGCCAAAAGCGACAAGTCAAACCTTGCTGGTTGTTAGTAGGGAACTACTGGTGCTTAAGGGAGAATGGGGGAGTGGATCCCCATCATAAATCTCTTTATAATCCCCATATATACCCCTACAATGGTAGCTACATTCACTCCCCCACTCCCCCTTAAGCACCAGTAGGGGAAAGCAACAATGGAAAAGGACGTGGAAACTACTGTAGGGTTTTGGGATGAGGGCTCAAGGGATAGGGAGAAGTAAAAGTCAATGCCAACTACCGCGGGATGTACGGTTCAGGGTTTTGTGGGCTTCAGGGTTCAGAGTATAAGGAACAATAAGAAATGGACCCTACAATATCATCGCGGATTACAAAGGGAGGACTATGCGGATCCATTCCCTTCCAAGCACCAAAGGTATGGTCCCCTACCTGTTTCCTGGATCCTAACACGCCAGGTTTAAGGGCCTACACCAGGGGCCCATAGCTCGACCTTCGACTCTAACCGCCAGTAAGACACAAGTGCACACCGCCATGGACGTCAAAGCAGGGCAAGCTTGAAGCCTCAGGATTTTCGGGCTTGACAAAAGGGCTTGGGGTTCTGGGTTAAAGTTTTTTTTTTACAGCTCCTTTTTTGAGGCTAAGGATTTCAGATCTGGGGCTTAGGGGTTTCCCAAATTCTGGGGGACAGGAATGGCAAGCCTATATAATCCCCATACATACCCCTCTAATGCTACTTATTTTTACTTTCCCACTCCCCCTTAAGCAGTTGGCATGCTGGAGAAGGCGTAAACGGCCTCCAAACCCAGCTCGTGAGGTCAACTCTAATTGACCCATAATCTAAACTCCTAGTATCCCCTTAATAAGCCCTATAATCGTCCCCTATATCATCCTGTATACAGCCCCCCTTTGTTTGGCCTATAGCTCGATTGCATCTGAAAATGGTCCGACACTAGTCTTGGAACCTTTGTTTAAGCCCTCAAGCCTGAACCCAAGGGATAGCGCTTGGGATTTGCTCAAAAACGTTCTTTCAATCCTGAAGATTGACCCTGAGATTGACCCCTAGAGCCCTTACACACTCCCAGTATATTCCTTAGTTTGAAAAAACGCTATTTAACAGCCGCCCTGCTTTAAGTTGATCCAAGTGACGAAGGGCCGGGCATCCCAACTGGCTGCAACATAACTCCTCACAAACATGTGGACGCTCTTTCAATCACGTTTGTGCTGGTATATAGATAAGGGTTCGGTCGCGAATATGTATGAGTTTGGGTACTCAAAGACCAGAAAAACTGTTTAAACTCTACTCCAGGCTCGGAGATTTCGCGTCTCCCAGTCTCGGTGGCGTTGCCGGGCGAAGATGCGGCAAAGGTAGAAACAGTGCGGTACCTGTGAAACCAGATACCCCAAACATCACCATGTCGCAAATACTTCGGCTCTTTCCGTTTCACGGAATGCTGACAACATGATTCTTCCAGACATCAACAGATACTACCGTTATTCGAGCCAGGCCGGAACGGTTGTTGACCAAAATGTGTGTTGGCGAGATGGCCTTTGCACAAGAACCTTCTGCAAACATCAAGATAGGATCCCTGCAA